AAGCACGACAAAGCTTGCATGTTCTAATCTAACACTTACAACATGAGATTAGATTAAATAATAAATTAGCATGGATCATTCCTCGTCACTCAAACAGATAAATGTGTGTGACCGTTTCTGATTTTTCAACTGTTCGTGTCTTTACTCGATTCGTAACGTTTTCGTCAGGTGCGGGCGTGGCTAATTACCGTAATCTGTGGGCGTGGCTAGTTACCGTAGTTAAGAAGGCTCGGAGGTACTATTGAGGTATAACAACTACTCTTCCGATTTACCTATGATTTCTTGGCAGTGAGACTAACATGAATTGAAACACTGAGAAGCATATGAGGTTTGCATATTCGCTTCGGTTGCTCTTCATTGCATAATCAAGCAGAAGCGGGAAATTCGTAAAAGTATCTTTTAGTGCATGATTGAGGGCGATATTGGCTTGAATGGATGGAGGTGTTGAAGAAGTTTTAACGTACATACTGCAGTAGTGAACTACTCTGTTTGGTTCGTCATAAACTTTGCTGTAGTAGTTAACGTTTTCAATCGAAGCTCTGTGTATGCTTGGGCAATAGTTATATGCCAAACAATACGCTCTACAATGATCCAGAAAATAATTTGCAATGAAGTAAACCGCGTAACTTTTTGCAGTGGTACAATATTTTGTTGTAATCAAATCAGATATGATGACGAACAATTACATCATACATCAACTTTTTGAAGTCATCTGCAAATTGCTTGGGTTGCATAAATTTTGATATTACTCGAGTCTGTTAATATAATTCCGTCTAGTGACAATGAAATATTGAATGAGTTAATCGATTCATTTGAAAATTCTCTAACACCTCCTCTGCTATCATTCCGATCAAATATCATGAAGTAGTGATGCTAGAAAGAACAAGAGCGAGAAATGACGGAGAAGAAATATACTGAGGGAGGTTTTTAATTGAGATTCCCGAATAGAGGATGGGTGTTGGCTAAAACAAGATGATTATATAAGAGTGAAGATTCTGTTCCGTTTTTGTGCACTGCTTCCGGTTGTATCGAACGAATAGTGCCAAACATTTTGAGAATGCATTCTGAACTCGTTTGTTTCAGTTATAGCGAATAACGTCTTCAATCAGGGTTTTGGTAACTATCAAAAGTCGAACTTAACCATCGTTTTTAAACGTCTCGTGATTGTTGCCAATCAATCGCATTGTGACTGTTTTTATGGTAGCAAGTAGTAAGCATTCCCCATCCAGCGTACTGATACTTTTCCGTTTGTTCACGACTTCGTTGCGCTGAACTTTGGAACCAAGCACAAATAGTTCAAAACATATCCACTTTGCTGCTAGCACACAATCTGCTCCATCAAAAAAGACGAGCATATTGATAGCTTGCAAATGCTAGTCTCAATACTCCTAAGGTGGTGTATAATTGATCAACATAAAGAACAAATATTCAGATTTTCTCAGCATGGTGAATCACTCAGTTGTATGCAATAAATTACGAAATTCAACTGTAAGTCTGGAACCAATCTGCTCATGGAAGCGTGAAATGTGCCTGATGTTGGTGATTTCAAGATGTCTATCAATACTGCAGTCTGGTGATGGTATCGTCGTAGCAATACGAATGTGCATAGTTGTTTGACTTATCAATATTTTATTGATGATAATACCAGTTGCACATCTAAACATACCCGTTCCCCCAATAATCTCCAATTACAACAGATTTTATTGATGGATCTTAACATTGCTGAGAATCGTGCTGATTCAGACAGAATTTCAATTAATTCAGTATATAAACCAATTCTAACTATTAAACATTACGATTGGTCACGCCAAGCGGCGTAACTCTCGTAACTTGGCGTCAGTATTGAAGGCTATTTTCTGTAGTGCTCAATCGCGGCTACAAGATTTTATATATCATGATTATATGTTTTCTCTGTCTGGTGGGTAACAATCCAAATTATTTCTTGAACTTTTTCACTTAAAGCGAAATCGATAATTTCGATAATACCTTGATTGTTGACGAATTTACATATTATCTTTTATTCTCCTGGACTTGTGCTACAAAGTGGTACATGAATTGCTCGGATTCATTCCCGTTAAATGGGTAAGAAATTCACATTTCTGAACACATATCAAATAAAAATTCGAGTTACGTCAGAAAATTTTTTCCTTCGCATTTGGCGGATTTTCCGCATCAATTTTTGGCGGACTATCGGAACGCCCAAACGAATGAACACATGGTTTTAGATGAATGTAAAAAGCACAGTTCGTGTGTTACAAGAATAAATTGTTTTAGTTCCACACTCTAATTTACTGGTTGATATAAGAGTAATATTCTCGTGGTAACGTCACAGGATCGTTTCAAAAAATCGGTTCGCTTAATTTTTGCATATAAGCAGAATTTACGAACGTACAATATGGGACGTATCTGCCGAGTTGTACCGAAACAGTGAGACACTTAACTTTTTTACTCTTTTTAGTTATTCAAAAACAGATCTACATTTATTGCTGTACACTCCTTTTGCTTCACGGAACTTTAGGTGCACAAATAACCGCTTCCAACAATCGTTGTATATTCTTGATTAGTATGCCCATTTTCATTTATTGTGAAGTTACTTTTACCAGCTAGTTGGTTCGGTGTTCAACATCGATGACTGGTTATGCTACAGTTCTGTTCTTTGACCATCATCATTTTTTATCGTGTTTCAACTTATTTTCGCCTTAGGTGTTGTAGTGATTGTAAAAAGAGAGTTAATGATGTATTGGCTAGTGTCGATATTCCGTATTTGATGCATCATTGTTTTTGTCTATTCATTCTCTTCTTTTGGGTTTCACAAATGACGTTTGTTCTATTAGAATGGTTTATAATACTTTTCAGAGAGACACAATTCATCATTTTGAGAATATGCCATAAATTCAATAAAATTACTCCATATTTAGGTGGACACACTATGAACCGATTGGAGAGATTATTCCGAATACTCGCTTTGTTGTTTTCAAAACTCCAATAAACGATGTGCTGGCCTCGAAAATACCGAAGGAGAAACGTTTCAATGTATCAAATTTACTTCGAATTGTACGTAATTTGATCATCTTCCTTGCAGTCATTACTTTTTTCATATTTTTATAAATATTTCTATCAGTTGATATTCAATAATCATCAAATGTCATATTTTTTCTGAATTTTTAAAATGAGTTCAGATGGCTGAACGTGGCCTAACGTTGGGTTTGGTGATTGATTTAACGGATACGGATCGCTATTACGATCATGCGGATATTGAAGGAATGTGCATCGATTATGAGAAGATCAATAGTCCGGGACGTGGTTTTGTGGAGCGGGATGATTTGGTGAAAACATTCAATGATATCGTCGAAAATTTCTTGAATTCAAATCCTGATAACGGTTCGTCTATCTTTTATTGTTACTTGTATCAGCAAACTGGTCATATTATCATCCAAGAGCTCTGTCCAGTCTCTTGCCTCATAAAGGTTCCGTTTTTGGGTGTTCATAATTTATTTTATTATTGTAATCATGAATTTTGGCTTGAATGTGTATTAATTCACTTACCGATTATACTTGGGTAATTGTTATTAGATGCGGTAATCGGAGTGCACTGTACAAATGGTGTTAATCGCAGTGGTTATTTGGTTTGTCGATTCCTGATCGATCGTCTGGGATGGTCATCACACGATGCTATCGATGGTTCGCCTTGCTATTTTAATACTTTCTATCGCAATTCATCATTGATCTCATTCGAAATGAATGAGTATGACATTATTTGTATAATTTGATAATATTATATTTCTATCGCAGTAAGCAATGATGCCGCATTCATAAGCATAATGAAAACATTTATAGCCTTTGAACGCGGCCGAGGTTATCCCATTGAGCGTGGTGCATATGTTCAAGCGTTGCATCGTGCCGCAAAGGAACGTCGATTGAAGAAGTTGGTTGTTTTGAGTTATATTCTAAAAATTATGTTCATAATTTTCTCTCCTCTCAAAATTTTCGTTGCTAAAATTTGGCATGAAAATTGTTTGGATGTAAATTGTTTGGCATGAAAATGAAAGAATGTTACAATGATGCCATAGTATTTCGATCAGTGAATAATAATTGATTGAGGGAATAAATCTTTCAGTAAATTTTCGTTTATCATTCAGACGTCACAAACACGCAGATGAAGTGGTGGTATCAAGTGAAGAGTCTGAGATACAACGACATCAACAGTTCTCGTTATCACGTAAAAGAAGCAAACATAAAAAGAAACATAAAATCGGCAATGCTACCGAGCCCATCATATCTGGTGATGATGAAAACGGTGGTGGTACACCAGACATGGAAGCTGTCTGGAGTCAGATGGCTGCCGTTCTTGAGGTACGCATCGTTTGATTGTCACATTCTCGATCGATTTGTGGCATAGATCATTTTCGAATCTGATCGAATGCTAGGAAATGGAACTGGTGCAGTTTTCAAATGAAGTGTTACTGAGGTGGTGAACTTTCAGCAACATGAGTCATTGATATTAAATGATAATCAAGCAGCAGCAGCAGCCGCGAATTATGCAAATGATTTGGCAATGATGGGTGACGGGATGCAGCGATCGCAAAGCTCGTCGCATTTGTCGCTTGATGGAAGCCCTTTCGTTGGAAGTACTGGCACGGCTGAGCAAATGGAAGAGGATGATGATGACGGCGATTTCAGTGGTGAACAAGTATGTTTGGCTTGGTGTTTTTCAAAGTTATGTTGCTCAGTTCAGAACGTCATCGAGAAAGTGTGTGTGCAATAATGGAAGTGTTTCTTGATAACAGTGAATACCCTTGTTGGAATGATACTTGGGATGGTTTTCGAGAGGAGATTCGAATAATTGCGAAAATAGTGATCTGGATTGTATTGATTTGATTGTATTCAAGGAGAACGCGACAAGTGGAGCGGCAGTTGAAGAAGTTGAAGTGTCGAAGTCGCAGAAGAGACGAGCGAGAAGGCAGCGATTACAGAAGGAATTCGAATTGATGAAAACGGGCAATTTTTGGAAGATCAATGAAATGCAAAAAGAAAAGTACAAGGGCAAATGAGCATCAGTTATAATGAGTTGCCGATGATTGAATAATCGTCATCTGTCGTTTTGAATATACATCCATTTCTATTCACGCAAATTTCTCAATTGTATTCACTTTGCCTAATGCCGAGGAATTTATTTTGTGGTAGTTTCAAAATCACGAAGTGAGTAAGATTTGAAATTCTGTCAACTTTTGTAGACAATCCTGATCGGATGACATGAATTCGTTTTGTGGTATGATTGAAGCTGCATTTTTNTTGGAAACTATGTAGATAATATCTAAATGGAAATCAAGATTCCGTTTTTGGATTAATTGAACGTTGATATGGAGTTCATAGTTTTGAACTGAGTACAATTTATCTTTATGATTCCTTGTTTTGATATATTTTCATTTTTAAAATTTACTTATTCGTTCCAATGGTTATTTTTAAATTTCTAATTTTGGGACTGTAATTGTCTTGAATGTCCAACTGTTCATTTTTTAAACTGATTCTTCATATTTATATCTCTCTTTATTACAGAAGCGTTGAAGTAAAAATGAGCGCAATTTCTATTTCACGCTCACTAATGTTTGGTTGTTGTTATGTTTCGCTTTATATTCTGATATTAGCAGTATTGACAGTTCCAGAAGCTGAGTACTTCACGGCACTGAGTGTTGATTGATTGTTGCGACGAAGACGATTATTTTTGAAGTGATCAATCGTTGAAATGCAGCATTCATTTCAACAAAGTTGACAATTTCAGCTCATCCGCGATGAAACGTCATGCACACGCTCTAATGCAACGACGAAAGATCTGTTATTTGTTGATCATTTGGTTGTTCGTTATCGATGTGCTCTCTCTCGTTACAGAAATGAACAAATAAACTCTTTGATTGCTCATTGCTGTGCTGAATTAATGAACTCATTCGTTAAGTGTATCGCTTCATTCATTGTTATCTTTCACTCACCTCTTCAAATCTCATCAGCTGAACGAGCGTATCTGTTGTTGATAAGTGGAAATTGAACATGGCATACTAACCATGGAATGGACCATTTAAGACGAGTGCGGTCTCGAGCTGTCGGGCCGGATTAAGACTTGCAAGGATGTGCCAAGGTTTGCCGGACGGAACCTGTCTGACAATGAGATCTCCTAGATGCGTTTTGATACTGGCGATCCTTTGACGTAGCGGTGACAGCGAGAGTATGATTTACACACCAACAAATTGACTAGTAATCGCAATGAATCCAATAGACAAGTTGCTAGTAATGATAATGGTTAACATATAGAGTGACTTGCGGAAAGGAATGACATACTAAACGATGGATTTAAGACGAACGACGGAAGTGTAAGAAGGCGATGAATAAGTATTTGCAAGAATGTGTTTGTAAAGACGGTGCGTGCAGTTTGTATGGAATTAATAGGATAATCGTGAATAAGATTAAATGTACAATAAGACACAGACAATGCAACAAAAAAAGATTGTCGTGAATAAGGGTCAAAAATTTACCGAGCATGACAAGTCTTGATCTGAGTTGATGGCTCGAGAGCGGCAATTGCACATTCATGAGCTCTGCAATCGAATGAAATTTTGACGCCAGTTGAAATAGATGGCTGACAATGGATCGTCATGAATTATGAGTGCTCAATAGCTGTAATCAATTGCGATAGGAGCGGAGAAATTAGGCGTACGAACTGGGCTCGAGCAAAATTTCAATAATTGATTAATGGGCCCTTTCTTGTTTCATATCTAAATCGATTTACCAAAGATAATCACCATATAGTTATGAGATCAAGAGGGAATTAATGTTAATTGTGTGTTAATGCAATCAGCGGTAATGAATATCTTTATGCGCTTACTTGAATCGTTATGTTCAAGTACCAGATCAAAATTAAATATTAAATACAGCATCAGCTTGGATGCCAACCAACGTAGCTGACAAGTTGAAAGATGCGAATTATGAAGGTGAATGGCAGTCATGTGACCTGATGGGCGAATCTGCCAGAAATTACCGAGCTCCTTTTAAGGTGACACCGTTCATTTTCGACTTTTCTTTGATGTCATTCATTGCAACATTGACATTAGAAGTGGTGCAGATAGTGGTAATAATAACAATGTGGCGATATCAATGGTGGTGATGACCAGATTGAAACAATATTAAAAACTATCTTTGGAAGCGTGTTTTCCGTGCAAAAATGATCATGTTTTGAGCGACATTTTATTGCTTTGGTAAAAACTCGATATCATTTCCAGTTGATTGAGAGTGATGTTTGGTTTAAGGTTTATCAGGCCTTATGGAATCCGAGTATTGACTTGGTGGCGTTAGCATCGAAAAAAGGTGAAATTTGTGTTCGGCGATATTTTTGGAAACGTGGCTGGAAGGTATTGAGCATTATTTTCATGTGCCCTTGCATCTATCTCAGTCCTTAAACGAAACTGAATATTGGCTTGGTGATGTAATTTTTGAAGAATTTGAATGAGATCAGATCATGATTTCCATCTTCCCCGTCATGTTCACTCCTTTAGTTGTGAGAAAACTGCAATAAGTTATGTGCATCATATAATTCACTGTTGTTTGCGGTAGGAAATTGTATGCTTTTGAACGTTATGCGTATTTTGAATGACTTTTAGAGAGATATATTCGAAGCGAAATCGCTACTGGACGAACGCACTCAACAACAAGGTGATACACGGTTGCAGACAATGTGTTGGAGTCCGAATGGAAAAGTATGCAATTGTGATCGCTGAATTCGCGTATTACCTGATGATTTCATTTTTTGAAATAATAGAATAGCCGTTTGGTATTAATTGGTATTAAATGAAAACCATTTGAGCAGAAGTAAACATTTATGAGTTATTGCGACTGTGAAATTGTTTAGTGATTTAAAATATATTAACAGTTGACGACTAAATAGCATGCATGAGAAATATTTGGATGGAACACTCAAATGCGTTATTTCGAATGACATTGTTTTCTTCAGTGGAGTATCTTACTGATTTGAATACTAGTGGTGCCAGTCTTTTTTCATCACTATTTCTTTCTGTCGATATGTCTTGTCACCTTTTTAAAAAAAANAAAAAAAAGATATACTTCATGGTTTAAGGTCCTCGCCGCAGCATTACACGATGGAAGTATTCATTTGCTTGATACGGAAAAAGGTTTCATCAGATATTCAATCAAGTCAGTTATTTTTTTGCCAAATTACTTTTAGTTCACCGAAATTTTCAGCCATTATTAACTAGTTTCCCGATTATTCGTTCCAAGAAATTCCTGCAACTGTTTCTGTGTGAAAACGATTGAAATCAGAAAATCGCACGCGAAACTGAAACTTGTAAAGTCCCTTTTTCTCGAAACAACTTTAATGTCAATAATCACCAATAAATAAAATGGCATGAATTCAGAATGAAGGATAAAATTTGCTTGATGAAGTGGTATTCTTTACCGTATAAATCGCCTAAAATTGATAACGATCAAGTCGCTGGAATTGTTAGTTATTTCTTCCATCGTTTATTTGTTTTTCATTTAATCACACTATTGCATTACCTTGTAAATAAGCAGTTCACAATTTGCGATAAGCTGCATGTAATATTAAGTATCAATTGCTCATTTGCAATTCTCCAAATGCAACGCACACTGTGTTATGAAAAGAACTTGCATTATAATTTTTGTCTGTTCGAAATTAATGCTCATATAGGATGTTGTTTGGAGTTATCTTAAGCACAGTTTCTAATCAAGTTTTTTTTTNTTTTTTTTTGAAGTCAGCGAATATTTTAGAAGTTGAGTTGTCAATTATAGGTTGGTGAAATGACGCCTGGTCATCATGCGACAGAGAAGTCCACTGAGAAACCAACAGAAAATGACTATTTGAAAAATTTAAAAGAATTTTGTGAAACTGAATCATTCGAAAATATAATTGGTACGGTAATGGTATGTGCTGATGAAGAGCGTATTGTACATATTTTGGCTGCTGGACTTTTACCGATCGCTAGAATTGAACCTCCGTCGAAATATTTTGGTTAATTTGTCATTTATTATTTCGTATTTCGATTTGTATTGCATTACATTGATTTGTTTGTTTCAGTCGTTCAAATACTCATTATAAGTGTCCCTCATTGAAATATGGCATTCGTTCAAATGAGTGGTTGTTTCAGTTAATTCTGATCCGTATTCGATATCAATAGGTGATTTGATCTATTCGAGTCACAACGAGCGATTGTACGTTGTATATTCAAGTATGGCACAAGCAGATACCTCAAGTATGACTTATTCCATTATAATTCTTATTACATATTCGAATTATGTGACGATGTCAACAATGTTGGTGTCTAAATAACGCATAGATTAAAAATATCTAATTGTAAATAAAATATGGTTCGAGTTTTTCGACTAATAATGAAAAAAGTGGTGAAAGGTAATGAATACTGTGCTTATTAGCAGATCTTAGATTCAATTTTAGGTGATAAGACGGGCTGTGATCAACAACTGTCTTTTGGCATGAATACACAAATCATTGATTTTGACATTGATGCCGTCGGTTGCTTCAAAGATGGCTCAGTCTGGCGAACCGCTTATAGGTTTTGATTCTGTATCCGTTAACCTTCTCAACTGTCATTCAAAAATCCCAAATTTTTTTTGTTTCTTTTCAGTTCTGTTCGGATTCTTAAGACATTTATCGCTTTCTATCAAAATATGCTGGCTATCATCCTATTCAATTCAGTTAAGCGGAAGGGGATTTTAGAACATTTTTTATAATTTTGTTATGCCGAAGAATTTGTGTTCAAATTAAAATCTCATTAGGAACTATCGTGAGATATTTCCGAGTTCGTTGTTTTCAAATAATCGGTATTGTCACCTAAAGTCATAGTTGAACTTAGTGTATTTATAAAACTTTATCAATTTAAAATTGCAAATGGAATCGCCTAAGTCATTATTATGTTCACAGTAAGAGCAATAATGCTTCGTCATTCATTGCTGAAACATTTATATCGTTCAGATGGCTGCATCTTTACTATTCGTTATCGTATATCTCAGAAACGTTCTCTCGAATGATTGTCGATTGGGATGAGCAGTCAGCCGTATGTCGTTCATTTGTTTATCTCAGTATTTATTTTTATGCGCATTGATCGTTCTAATTTGCATCATGCTCGTATCGTTTCAGCATTAATTTCATATCATTTATTATCTTCTTGATACACCGTTCTCACTCTTTATCGGATCGTTTCATTATGTTGACTGATTGAATTGAATACTGANTGAGATGAATCTTCATTTTTTCTCATTGGTTGAACCAAATTTAAGGCATTCGAAAGTGCTTTCGATTCGTTCAATAATTCGAATTCGTCGTCCTCGAACGACACCTCGTCACCGTCTCTAGCAGATTGTTTATTAAATATCATTTTGAATGGTCATTCGAATGCGAATTTGCTGAGTTTTTTCCGCAATTCCTTCACAACTAGCGAATGTAAAAAGATGAATGAATGGATTAATAAAGGATTCACGTTAGTTTTTGCCACTTTACTGAATGATTTTAGAAATAGTGTTCTCGGAAACCGTTCGAATGTTTTGACGAAACTTTTCATGACCATTCCGTTCTAACTCTTTTCTGATTGAGATGAAAATCAGTTGTATTAATCGACGTTATTGATAGGATTTTTTGTCTGCTCGGAGAGTAACATTTTTTTTATTTCAGTCAGTTAATTGAAACGCTGAATGGTGATTTGTATTGTGCAGCGCAAATGTTTCAACATCACATGAAGCAGTTCGTATGGGAATTTGAATGTGTCACCAGCAAATGGAGATCGTTCGTTACATTCCTCATTATTTTCACTTTCAACTTTTATTTTGCACTCATTTCTATTTGTAAATATTTTCTTTGATGAAATTGATATTAATTTCAAAATGTTGCTGTTAATTCTATTCGTCATGGATATTGAAAGCGATTACGTTATTGCCTTAAGCAAAATGGTCTAACATAATTTTATGTCACTGAAAATGGATGTTTTGTATTGAACGTTGAATGGCTTTTCAAATGTACAGTACTCAGTGTTTTATAGAAAGAAACAATTTTTATGAGCTCTGAATTTTTTCACAAATGAAAATATTGTGGTCAATCAGATATTTGGAAGTGTTTTAGGAAGATGGTATGAGAAGTAGCATTCCATAAACATTGTTGAATTTAGTTGTTGATTAGCAGTATGGAAGATTCGAAAAGCACATCTAGTGCCATCCGCACGTTTTGATATTTCTCATCTAATTGATAGGGTGTTCACCATTCATTATGTTTGTTGAATCACCGTCGAATTTTCAGCACTCAGTTTGTACCGAATCGTGTCTTCGACGTTAGCGTATATCCCTATGGAAGTTATCTGCTAGAGGAAGATCGCGATGAGTCAGAACTGGATTCTGGTCTGGATGGATCGATAAATGCATCTGAAATGCTTACTTTGAGAGTGGTAGAACTAAGTGTAGTTGCTTTAAAGAACAGGTAAATGGCATTGTTTTGTTCAAGCGATTATTTTTGAGCATTTAAGTATAAAACTGTGTTGTGATTTGTTCGGCGAGTGATCCTAATTCCTATTTTGTGTTTATTGCGCATAAACTTTCGCCGCTCTTCACTGCTTCTAATATTTTTGTTCTAGGAAGGATCTGAGCAATTTCATGCAATGGCTTTCTCAAACTCCTTGGTTATCGTCCAGGAGTAAGTCATCGAATTCTTCACAGAGCAACTCAAGCAAAGTCAATTTAGATGCCGTTTTAGAGGTACACAATTATTTCGTCGTCGGAATTCATTTCACTCCGAGTTATATCGTACGAGATTGTTGTGGTTTTGAATAATCAGAATGATTAGTCGGAATTTAATCGTTTTCATTTTGTCATTTTATCGCAATTGTTTCCATGAATGAATCTTAGAACGCGAAGACCGCATCAAAATTTCTATATTCTGTTCCGTTTTTTGATCACTGAAATTTTTTCCCGACGTTAGAATATATGAGTTAAGATTGCTCTTGGATGATACGTATCGCCGATACTATCAAATTCGTTATTTCAGTATATAACCCAAACATTAGGTGCATCAAAAACACCTTTACTAACGAGCTATAATAAAGAAGAATCACCCGGTCTTGTTGAGCAAATGGATGAAATTTTTAAGGTGAGTCTTGTTCGCCTTTTCTCATCTGAATTGTTAAATTATTCATATTGTATCTGTGCGATACCATTGATACTATTATGGTAAAAACTAGTGATAAAAGTGGTGGAAGCATGATAATAATGACAACAGTACCAGTGATAATATTAATAGCAAATAATAACAATAGTATATTAATAGTAGTAATGAATAGTAGTGATAATAACAATGAATAATATTATAATAACAATAACAATAGTAATAATAATAATAGTAACAGCAATAATGATAATAATAATAATAATTCAGCCAGCGGGAACAGAAGCGTATGTGATTGCAATGGATACATCATCAAACAGTTCGTTGCCTCACGATGACTCCTCAAAGAATATCATTAGTAATAACAAAAATGCGAATTCTGTGTTCGCTGAAGCGATTGCGGCTGATAATGAATGCGAAGTGGACAAGGATCGTTCAAAACCGCACTATTCGTTCGATAAGGTCAACTTTTATTCTCATTGATTCTTGTTATGATTATTGTCAGTAATACAATAGTTATTAATATTACTAGTATTGTGGTAATCTTTTTCGTTGTATCGTTCGCATCAATGTTGTTATCAATATTGCCAACGTTATTGTTTCTTATCCGTAACGTTATTTATTCTCAGTGACGTTGACCGTTCTTTTTGAGTCGATATAAAGTCGGATGCAACCAGCAAGGAAAGAGATTTAGGTGAAACAATATTTGAGTCGATTCGATCGTTTGAAACATCCCATTGACCTGAGCAACAATGAGTGGACAACACCCGAATTGACGACTTTATTGATGAACGATAATCGAAATACGACATTGACACTGGCACAATCCATCAGTGAATGTATTGGTTGCTTAGATAAGATCCGAGCGAGTTTATTGTCCAAATTCTCATCGACAGTTGAGACGGTTCGTTGATTTGGTATTCTTTTGATGATTGTTTTGTTCGAATATCTTTTACAATGACTGTCTTTTTGGTTTGCAATTTCGCTGTTTTGAAAATGTTGAATAAAATCAAATATAAGACAAATTTAGTTCATTATCCATGTTGATTATTGCATTATTCATTCAGAAGTCAAATGTTTTCGTTGAACTGCTGCACAGCGAAGGCTTTGAACGTTTCAACTTCTTCTCATTGCATTCGTCTGGTGATGAGTACGAAAATGATGAAGGTTCGTTCTTCCATTCTTTGATGACTTTGATTTCAATCTTTCAAATTCCTTTCTATATTAATCATTTGAATTGGTTTAAAATCCCTGAAGTGCAAGAACAACTTGTGTTATATCATAACATGCATGATAAGTTACATTCAAAAAGAAAGTACCTTTGAGTTCAAAATGGTTTGTTTTTGGCGATTCATTCCTTTCTTTTAAGTGTATTTTTTGGTTTTCAGCAAAGGAATATATGGAAAAGTTAAGTGGGATTGAATCGATTGGTCTTTCGTGTATTGGCAGTGAGGGACGTCGACATTGCATCTATACATGTTCTGGTGACCTGATATCTCAAGTTAAATACGTTCAGCACGAAGACTCACTGACCAGTAACGCAAAAATGTCATCGTCTACACGGGTATTGAATACATTGATCATATTGACTCGTTTAGAACGTTACTCATTGTTGGAACTATTCTCTTATGAGTGGTACTTGTTGATGGTCGTTGATTTGAGTCGGTGTCGTTGAAAGGAGCCTCCGTGAAGTCAGGTCGAGGGGAACGACGACGGTCGAGTAGCGATAACAATTTAGCTGTTGCAGCTACGACAGCTGCTGCAGTGAACCAGCCACTTCAAATCGATGTTCTTTGTAGGTGTTTTGATTCGATAAGACTTTTCCTCGTTAACGTTTTGTCGATGTATTAAGATTTTGGTTCTCGTTGTTTCACTCTCCTCGTCAGTTTCTCATTCGGTTTACACAAAATGATTCGTAATTTTCCGCATCTTCGCATGTTGAATGTTGTTTTTTTGAATATTCAATAGTTTATCGCTTATCAATCACCTGATTACTGTTCACAAATTTCAGCTGAAATACCATCGTCAAAAATTCACGGAGGAAACTGTTTCGCAGTTGTCAAGAATCGACGCATCATACAGTTCGAATGGCTGGATAGTGGCATATATTATGCACTGATGAAAGTGAAACGAAATCAAGAGGAGTATGTGCATTTAACGAGAGCATTTATTGGCGATAAAACAATCTGGGCGCATGAGGTGGTTTGTATATTTGTGTTTGTCAACTTCCGTTGTTGTTTCACTTTCAACTTTTGACGGTTTCGTTTCTTCTGAATGTGGTGATTATTCCTGTTCTCATTACTTGTTTCTGTTCATTCAGATTTATGATATTCGTAGCGAGTATGAATAAATGCTTGGAAAAAAAGAAATGAAAGGTTATCCTGGAATAGCTAGAAATTTTCAAAACAACCAATTTCAGGATACATCATGCATTGAGCATTACAGTTCATTTTCGTTGTCCCCTGCTCGTAAATTAGGTCTAACACTGTCAGAGTGCGGTACTCGAGTGCGGTGGTTCGAGATTGGTTCGTGTGCCGAGGAACATAATGATGAAGAACCAGAGGCCGACGACAACGTCTTCGCAAATCAAATAAATGAAACGAAGGAAAATATCAATACTAGTCCAACTCTCAACAACGAGGTATTTCATTAGTAAAAATCATTCCCTTCTTAAACTCTACCGGTTCTGTTCAGCATGGACCGTCGATATTAAAAATTCGTGAGTATCTTTAAGGAAACTTCGAAAGAAGCAAACCTGTTTGGGGAAAGAAATCCAAGAGGAAAGCAAAACAATGAAGAGAATGTTGCAGGTATCAATTTTTTAAACGAATAATTATTTACCGAAGTTTTTTCAGTGGTTAATTTCCAGTTTATGTTTCCATCGGTAATTTGGCTTTTTGTATCTTCTGTCTCTCTTTCTGAAAATGTTTTCGAAAATTATTATTAATGCAAGTGGATTCTTGTCAACGATTAACTGTTCATTTTTATGGAATTTCGAACCAATTCTAATCATACTGTCTGATGTGAACTAATGTTGTACTCTGGTAACGTTTTGAAAATTTCAGATGCTTTGAATCAGTTGCCCAGTACGACCCAGTTGAGGAGAAGTAATCGAAAACGCAAATCACAACGTGATTGATTTTGGATGAGCTGATGATTGATAACTTAATTTTGTTTTATTTCTTTAATCCGTCTTTCAACACTGGAAAATCGGGCTGAAGCAATGAGAAGGATTTTAGAGAGTGCTGCTGATTTCTTATTGTGAACTGGAGAAAAATATCTGCTCCATGTTCTTCCCCAATTATTCGCTCAGTGTATATCTCCATGGGCAAAGAATCCCAAAAAGGGATTATTATGAGCGATTCATTGTTTCACTAAAGAACTTGGTTGGTTCGCTGGACGGTTGATCACTTTTCAACTGTGATCCGTCGTCTTGTCGATTGGTTAGCGAAATTTGGTAAATGTAACAATGAGGTTCTGAATGTTTATATGTATTTTAACTTTTGATCTGATGTCTTCATTGCTGTTTATTTGTACAGTTTGTACTTGACGAGTAATAAATTCTATATACAATCAACGATTCCCTTATGTTTTGTGTGAGCATGTTAATTGACATCGATAAGACATTCATTTGAGTCACACAAAAATTTGTTTCTTGGTTCTCGAGATAGGAAATTCGCGAAGTTGAAAAAATTGTCTGCTTTAAGAAATCTGCATTTAACATACAAAATTGAATTCCCTGCTCCTGTTTATAAATGCGTTGTCACTCTAAGCGTGGTGTTTTGTGAAGCCGAAGCGATAGAAAATGCCGGAAATTGTTTCTTTTGAATGGTTTGCAAGAAATACGTTTATTGATTGCTGTATGAAATTTGAATTGCAAGTCGCTTGAAGGTACGTATTCGCGGATTAACACTGGGGCAGTAGAGTGAAGTAAATTTGAAAGATATTCGACAGCCATTCTTATTCGCATCGTTGACCGGTGGCGGTTGTCTGTTGGAATCTATCCGTAAAACAGCAGACGATTTTGGAGGTGATTTTGGAGATTGGACCGTTTTTGAGAGTCGATTTCTATTCGCCATACGCCATCCAATAAATCTGGTCAAGCCTTCACTTACAAATTTGTGTTATTTATAGCTGGCGAACTGCTAACAGATTCGATAAATTTCTCGTTTTCACGGGCGTTGGGGCCAATGCATCTTCAGTACAAATGCGTTTTTAGTGGGAAACATTCCAATAAAATCATTTCGTTGCATTTCTTCCAAAGAAGCTCCGAAATACCGAAGTAATCTCTCTATTCGAAAAGCTATCTGACAAAGAGTGATGAAAATATCCAAGTCTATCACTTGCAAACATTGCGTAAACATTTTTAAATTGTCTCACGTTAAAAATTGATTGAAATGTTCAGAATTGATCGATGAGTCGATAGATATGTTAAGCATTGAGACGAGTCGCTTCTCACTTCCGCCTGTCGAACCAATATTCTTGACATGGCAAAATTTGAGAGTGGTAACGAAACGGGGAAATCGTTTGCTGTTGGACAATGTTATGGGAGTTGCACAGCCAGGACAGTTGATCGCTCTGATGGGTGCTAGGTACTCCATTGAAACTTATGATCACTTATGGTTATAACAATGGCATCGCTGAGAAGACGATGAAAAACATTCAGTAAAACGATGAAAAAAACATTTCTCGTAAAGTTATCACTTCATCGCAATGATGTTCCAGGATTGCATTTGTTGTTTTCATACACTGAATGATTTCGTTGATGAATGATGAACTATTGCATTGCATGACATCGAATCTTTAAAATCGCAAACATTTTGATCACAGATCATTGAAACAGCAAATGTGATGATGGACGAAGTTTCTTCAGTTGTTTCTTCCATATTTATCCATCAAGTATAATTGCAATCATGAAACGTCAATCAGTCAACAAGTATAACATTGAGCGCCTTTTATAACTTCAAATGAATCTGTTACCGTCACTATATTAATGCATTCATTGATGTACAACAGTTCTCAGTCACCAATCCCCACTGACTTATTAGGAAGCATTCAATATGGCCTTTAGAATACTTTGAAGATTACCATTATGGGTAATCGTCAAAGAGCAGTATGTATACATTGTTAATGAAATCAAAAAATCGTCTACAGTGGTGCTGGTAAGACAACATTGTTGAACGCGTTATTGCAAAGAAACATCAAAGGCTTAGACATTGAAGGAACAATTTTGGTCAATGGACAAGAGATCGGTCGAAAAATAACCAAGGTTGTTTCTTCAACTTTAGAATCGAAATTTTTTGAATGCAATAAACAGCGAAAACATTCAAAAAATATTACAAAGATGTCAAACATATTGAGAGCAATTATTCTGAAGCAAAAAAAATCATTTGTTTTGCTGCACCCACTAAAAATGTGCCAAAAAAATGTGATCCGATTGTAACAATGAATTGAAGTAAATCGGATCGGCTATTTCTTTAACGATTGATTCGAAGTGAACAATTCATAATCTATGGATTCAGTCAGAAGTAATATATTGAGGTATCATCGTATATTCAACAACAGAATCTCTTCATCGGAACATTAACCGTTAGAGAGCATCTCATCTTGCAAGCCAGACTTCGCTTGCCATCAACTTTTGATGACGCACAACGACAACTTCGCATCACACAGGCAACTATCTCGATTTATTTTCTCGCTATACGATGGATCTAGAAAATGAGATAATGAAAAACCTTTCTTCAAATGCTAGCTAAAATAATGTTCCACCGCGAACCAGCTGTTTAATAAGCATTGGAAATTGCACTCATCCAATTCATTTAACACACAACCAGTCACAAATTAGCCACACTTTATTGACTGTTGATATCTTGTGAAAGTATCGCGATTGAATCATCAAATAAAACTGGATGATATTCAGGTAATGACCGAATTGGATTTGAAAAATTGTGAATCGTCACGGATCGGTGTTGAAGGTATTAAGAAAGGTATTACGAGTGGTGAAGCTAAGCGACTATCGTTTGCCACTGAGATTCTCACAAATCCTTCGTTACTTTTTGCTGATGAACCAACTACCGGCATTGACTCTTATATGGCTTTTCAAGTCGTTAAGGTCATTCGAAATTTTGTTTTCTTTTACTCTGTTTACATTATGTCATAACCTGTGTCACTGTCATCACGCAAGCAAGCCATTGTGTATTGGAACAAACACGACCAAATCAAGTGTTTTGCGTCAGTAATTGGCCATATTAATTGAGTGCTCGCCAAGTAAGCTGTAACTGATTATTGTGATTATCTTTGTTTTGAAGGTACTCGAACGACTGGCATGCGAATGTCGAAAGACGATAATTTGTACGATACATCAACCATCTTCGGAGGTTTTCGAGATGTTCGATCGTGTTGTGTTCCTTGCGAATGGCGGTGTTGCTTTCTTAGGTTTTACGCTTCTCTATTTTATTGTTTTCCTTAACGATGCTTCTCTACTTGAAACAGATTTCAGTTTGTTGAACGATGTGTCTTTTAAAATCATTTCGAAAATTTTCTTCCAAAAGTCCATGGACAACTAGATGAATGAGTGCCTCTCTACTTAAATGTTTTCACATGCCCCAACGCTTTGGAGTTCCCGAATCATTCTAAATCAGTTGCAAATGAATGCATTGACAAGCGATAATCTTGAGAAATCTTTTAGAAAAATCTCCTCTTTGTTTCCATGGCAAAAAATCGGACAGCACGTTCTCCACAGAGTTGAAATCTGTGAAACGTTTAGGGCAACCCGAAACATAGATCTGATCCTGTAAACAATGGCGGATGAGTTCATCAGCAATCCGCGATAGGAGATCAACAATTATCCCGTAGAGCGAGGGTGCCTTGAGCAGAGACACTTCACATTTATGCACCATAAGTCTGTACTCACATCAGTACGTGTGGTATGAGTAGCCCTTCGGCAATAATACAGCTCATGTTGCGTGCAGAAAGTCACTTTGACGCGGTCAATTCCATCATTTTTATATTTACTGGGCTAAATCGATTGACATGAAGCACAGCTATTGTTAATCAAGTTGTAAATATTCATACAGGATCACCCGCCGAAGCAGTGCAGTTTTTTGGTGAGTGCGGCCACCCAGTTCCAGAACACACGAACCCGGCTGAATTCTTCATTCAGACACTTGCAATCGTTCCTGGTGATGAAGACCGATGCATTCAACGTGCTGATGGCCTAAAAGCAGCCGTACGTTTTTCCTTAATTGTTTATTCATTCAGAATATTCGTACAAATACTCAATCGTTATTCATTGAGTGTTGAAGCTTTGGTATCAATTGATAATTGATAGCAGAAAGTGGCAAATCTTTTGAAGCTTCTAATTTGCTAAGTTTTCATTTCCCTCCTCCGCTACTCTCATCATCAAAATCGAAATCTCAGTCATAGCATAACTTTCATAAAATGTTGGAACCAAACTGAAAGGAAGTAAGTGTATCGTTACAAAATGTTCAGGCAATAATACTAACAATGAAAATGACTGTAAAAATCGCAGACAATGAATGAGTTCGGTTTAAGTTTCTTGTTTCAAAATTCGCCAAAAAAGTACAACTCCAATGTGAATTGAGCAACCAGGAAGCAGCTGTAGAGCTTGTCGAACGAGGAAAGGCATCCTTACTCATGTTGACAATGACACTGTTTATGCGGTTATTTCCATGAATTTTTTGAATGTTATTTATTTCATTCGAACGACTATTCGTTCACTTCTATATGGCTTGTTCATTTGATAGAAGTGAAAATTATCACTGATGTCATGATGGTGTATTTTTAGAGCACTACTTGACAACTGGCGCAATCCATCGCTTGTGCGCGCAAAAATGATACAAAAATGTGTGATGGGTATTTTTCTTGGATTCTTGTATTTCCAAACAGATATGACACAAGTAAGGATACTTCATAAGGATTCGAATCTTCATTGGAAACCAAATACTATCATTATTTGTCTGCTGATCGTGAAGTATACGTGTTTTGTTCAACCATTTGCTGTTCCTCTCTCCTAGGCGATCCAAGTGATCGGAATGGAAACAGATGGCGATTTCTAGGCGATAATAGGCGATTTCTAATCATGCTGAAGGGATCGGTAAATAAAATCTACCAAAATAATCATTCTTTG